TAAAGCCCGATTGGTGGTAAAGGGATATAATCAAACATATGGTATTGATTATTTGGATAGTTTTTCACCCGTGGCTAAAATTGTCACTGTTCGATTATTACTATCCTTATCTACTTCAAAAGATTGGTTCTTACACCAACTGGATGTTAACAACGCTTTTTTACATGGTTATCTAGATAAAGAAGTCTATTTGATTCCTCCACAAGGTTATTTTAAAGCTAAACAAGGAGAAGTTTGTAAGTTGAACAAATCGTTGTATGGATTGAAGTAGGCAAGAAGACATTGGCATATAGAGCTTTGCAACAAATTATTGAGTTTTGGCTTTAAGGAATCTTCTCATGATCATTGTCTTTTCATTAAAGGAGAAGGTAATACATTTATGGCATTAGTGGTTTATGTTGATGATGTTTTAATCACAGGACCAAATGAGGAGTTGATAAAAGAAGTAAAAGCTAAACTCCATGAAGCTTTCATTGTTAAAGATTTAGGCCAATCCATTTATTTTTTGGGTGTTGAATTTCTCAAGATAGAGAAAGGACTATATGTTAATCAAAGGAAGTATGTTATGGACATTCTTGATGATGCAGGTCTTACATGAGTTAAGCCAACCAATACTCCTGTGATGAAGAATGTTCAATTATGTAATGATAAAGGAAAACCTTTGATTGATCTAGAAAAATACAGGAGACTTGTTGGAAGATTGTTATATTTGAATTTCACAAGACCAGACATTAGTTATGTTGTGCAACAACTAAGTCAGTTCTTACATTATCCTACTGAAATTCATTGGAAACTTGCAATTTATGTACTGAAATATCTTAAAGGATGCCCATCAAAAGGTCTATTTTTTAGTAAAGATTCACCACCAATGACAATCACTGCATAAAACGATTCTGATTGGGCGAGCTGTAAGGATACAACAAGATCACTTACTGGATATTGTATCTTCATAGGATCACCATTAATCTCTTGGAAGACAAAGAAACAAAAAACTGTATTCAAGTCTTCATGTGAAGCTGAGTATAGGAGCTTAGCTGCTACAGTGTGTAAATTAATGTGGATTAGTTACATATTACGAGATCTCAAAGTAAAATTGAAGATTCCAATTGCATCGTTATGTGATAACAAATCCGTTATTCATATCACAGAGAATCCAATCTCCCATGAAAGGATAAAACACTTGGATATAGATTGTCATTTAGTAAGAGAAAAATACAAGGTTGGATTTGTTCTTCCACAACACATACCAACAAGACAACAATTGGCAGATCTATTTACGAAAGGTCTATGTGGTCCTCAGTTTCAATTTCTTTTATCCAAGATGAACCTTGATGACATTCATCAAAGTTCATCTCGAGGGGAGGATATCAACATGATAAGTGTAGCTGAGGGGTTCAATTGTAAATATATAATAGATCAGGGATTCAGTTGTAAGTAGCTAGCTGTTTGTTCTATGTTGATTGTTTAAGTTCATGTTCATTCTCTGTTTTCAATTCAAGGTGAAATAAAATTGATTTTCACTTGTTACTTTCTCTCTCTAATGTGTTCTTGATTGTTTGAAAGCTACAATCTTGGCTCAACATCATCATCAGTTACACCACTAGTAAAGGTTAATCTATATTCTATGATTAATCATTCAGGGTTTAGGGTTTATGAATAAATAACACAATTGTTTTATGTTTTAGGTTTTGCTTGGTGAAAATCCTGAAAGCATGTTGGAGAATGGTGTACCTTCAAGATCTGGACTGCAGACTGTTCTAGAAGTTGAGTATCCAGACCAATTTTGCGCCGACTGTGGGCCCCATATATTCTGAATTGCAGTCACGATGGGGATCATATATTTTCCTAGAAATAAGTGAGTTCATTATTTTACTTAAATTAAATAAGTAAAATATCAATATAACCAACCAATATGAAATAAAAGATTTTTACATAAAAAAAATTGTATGCTGCTCTTGTAGCTCTAGCAACGATTCCATCTTCCCATAAAGATCTCTTATATGCTGTGAAGACATGGCCACCTGTAATATACTCAACAGTGCCTATAATTGCAGCTATAGAGCCCCAACTTAACACATCATCTTATCTTGTTTAGCCGCATCTCCTATCTTGTTTATGTACTAGCGGTTTTGTATGGGTTATGCACGATAATAAAAAAGGAAATCACATGGACTTGGGTGGTTCTTGTTTAAAAAATGCATGGGATGATAAGTTTACGAGCAAACACATTCTTTGCTAGATTAAAAAATTGCGTTTGCCGGGAGTCGAACCCGGGTCTATTGCTTGGAAGGCAATTATCCTAACCGTTGGACTACAAACGCTTGATATGTACTTTTCAAACCAACAGTGTTACATATAGCTCTACTTCTAATTTAAAAAAAGAAAAAGAACACCGGATTTCATATTCTAAGAGCTTTTAAAAGTCAGTTCAGTTTAATATATTTTAAACAGCTAAGTAGCATTGAGTTCCACACCATAATAGTTATTTTTATTTTTCAAACATGAAATAATAGCATTTTATACGTATATAGTTTTTTCAACTTGAAAATGTGTAATTTATATTCAGTTCAGGGTTCAGTTTGAGGCTAAACCTGTTCCAAAACACCAAAACCTATTAAGATTGGTCTGTTTTTTTGGTTACGTTCCAAATTCTATTATAAAGGGGTTTTGTATGGTTTATGTTGGAGACCTAATGTCATTTACCAATATATGTAAAAGGTGTTTAGGTTATGATCAAGTAAGAGTTAGGGAGCATGCAGTGTACACTCATATAAACTAGTATGATTGTGGACACAACGAATGGTAGGGTCTAGGGGTCATGAAGGCCTCCAAGCGCAGATCCTTAAGATGCCTTTGAAGTGTAGGTCCTGAAGGCGTAGGTATTTAAGCCTACGTCATGAAACATTGGTGCCAAAAGTGTAGGTAGTGAAGGCTGCTACTGATGGCTTTAAGGCAAGCTGCCAATATCCAAAACTGCTGATCCACTTTGATGAAATTTTTGGTATACATACAGGATTTGATCAGGAAGCCTAGGGTCTAACTCTTGCATTCTAAAACAAACTAGCCATACGCTTGTTTAGTGCTCGACTTCCTGTTTTACAGCCAAACTTGAAGTTGTTTTTCGAGTGAATAATTCCCAAGTAGATTTTGCCACATATAATTGCATTACAGGTCATAATAGTAATTACAAATGGTGTATAACACGATCTAATTTGATATCCAAGTTTTATTGACTATCATTCACAGTCGAGCCAATGTGAATTCCTGCCCTACTCATATAGTATCTCAAGAAATAGTATTTTTCAAGAAATGAATGTGTTTAACCAAAATTACACATAATGAGTTTATACTTTAACATCAATTGTAATATATTTCTCTAACTTAAAGTAACAGTTGTGTCTGCAATCCAAAAATAAAGGTTTTGTCCTATAATTGCTTGGTGCTATGATCCATTAAGTTCAATATGTCACAGACGAACGTTGAGCCGTAGTTTTAGAATGTTATACACGAGTAAACGTTTCTATAGAATCCAAGACTTTGTATGAAAATAGTATCTTGATAATCTTCTAATATCATGTATTTACATTTGGGATCCACCTACATTCAGTAGAAAAAAAAACATTACACAAACTCAACATTTAAAAAATGCAACATATTGTTTATTAATGGACTTTATTCAACAAAAAATTATCTCTATTGTTTGTCCACTAGGTTGGAATCAGTGAAGTGGCACTTTGATTGAGAACCAAGTGTTGGATGTTGACCATCCTAACAAATTCAATCATATCAAGCATAACAATATTGCAAGATAAAGAACATATCCCCAAGAGTGTATTATAGCTGGTTTATTGATGGTATACTTGCTGAAAATGAAAAGATCCAATATAAGAAATTTAAGAAAATGAAGATATAGAAAATGAAATGACATGACAATCAAGAACCAGGATGCAGTAACTATATGAACATGAGTAGATCCTGCATAAAAAATTAAGAATCAAAATAGTAACATGCATCAATAATACTAATGTGATTTAAAGAAATACAGAAACCTAAATTAAGGAATACACTTTTATGAGAAAGTCTATCCCAACTTTTCTTGTTGAATGCTTTCCACAAGATGGTTAAAACTAAAAGCGATGGTATTCATAGTATTTGTTAATATCATTAGACACGATATCACTAGAAAGTAAGAATTCATCACACTTTAAAAACATCAAACATATGTTTCTGAAATCCATCAAACACAAGTTTTTGAAATCCATCAAACACAATTTATTAACATAAGATACTAAAAACTATCAGAAGCTATCTTTATGGCAGAGAGAACAAGCAATGCCATGTCATCCAAACTGCTTCAACAGCCTCAAACTTAGCCACTTGCTCCTGGAAGCATCGGGTCACGCTTAATCAACTGAGAAATCAAAAGGGGAAGTCAGTGAACAGTCAACATTATATATACCCGACTGAAAGAGTAAATAATAGTTGTAATTGAAGTGCATTGCAAGAATACAAATAAATGAAGGCCAAATGTATACTGGGTGAAGGTAATGAGTCTGTTACACTTCTTATTAGGCATACCTTTTGTCCTGTCAGTTGTGGCTTAAGTAGAGCAGTGAGGGCAATAAGGTCTTTTTACTGTTAGATCAGTTAGGTAGGATTAGTTGAGTGGTTAGTGTTAGTAGTTGGTATCTTTGGTCATAACAGAATATAAGTGAATTTAGGAAGAGTTCTTAGCCTCTTGAATGCTAGTAAACTTAAGTATGCTCCATGATCAAAACTTTAAACTATAGATAATGTCCTTTTGCAGACCTCATATATTACAAAAGAAAATGAGAGCATCCCATGAGTAAACATGAAGATTGAGCTATGAGGCCAAGATCAACACAGTTTTTTAGGGATGTACAGGAATCATCATAAGCATTAATAAGAATTCAGTATCCAGATATAATTCCACAGTTTGTATTATATGATAAACAAAATGAACGCACCTTACAACTCTTCTAGCTATTACTCTCTTGTGTCTTTCTCTTTGGCCTCCCATTAACATAGGGAGATACAAGACTCTCCATATAGATAGGGGCACAAATATATTCCTTAGTCTTGTAGAACAGCATATCACGACACAAAGTTCTCTTGTTAGGAACGTAATGTTCCTGCTCTTTCAAGCATTGTAAAGCTAAGTTCATATCACAGCCCTTTTCAAACATTTCCCAAGACAGCTTTCCATTGTAGTTCTTCAGCATCCATAAGTTATCATTAAACCCATCACAAGGAGATATGCATAAACAATCTTCGATAATACCTAAACTCATATTTGGGCAGCTAGCAACACCAGATTCATATCGCTCATCATCAGGTTCGGAAATTTTGTTCAATTTTTCTTCAGATAGCTGAAACGAAGCAATGACTCTCTTCTTATTTGGAGATGAAGAATCTTTCATAATCCAATGAAGTGCCCCATTGCATAAGATACCAATCCTACTATGAAACGAATACTTTACATCTCCAATTAGTTTCCAAACATTTGATTTCAAACTTAACACTTGAAAACATGTCCAACCAACACGTTTACGGAACCCTAATACAACCTTGTAATCATCGGTAGATGAATCATAGCCAAAACCCCAACATAAATGCTTGGTATCAAGAATTTGAGGCTCTTGTAGTTTTTGAACCTCTCTAGTTGAGGGATTGGCTACTACAAGTTGAGAAGCAAAAGAAGAGATGCATACAAGTCCATTGGAAGAACCAAGAAGATGACAATCACGATCATCAAATAATCTGTCATCAACATCACAAACACGCGACCCGTTGCGATAAGAGACCCTTGACATAACAATCCTCCTATCTATATCATTGTTTTTGTAATCATTTTGGTAACTATAGTTCATATGGAATTTAATGAAACCAGAGTCGGAGATCAAATTTTCCCAAGACTTACATACACTTTTGCATCGGATTAGATCCCTCACATTCAATCTTTTCAGTATATTCGGAAGGACATCATCGTGAAGCTCTGCCATCGAAACCCTAGAGTCGGCAATACGAAAGGAAAGAGAGGGGGGTGTACCTACACGATAGCGAGAAATTTAGTTATATTGTGTATTTATTAGGGATTTTGGTTATCAACACTCATAAATGCAAAACATGATATGATGAAATTATTACCACAGTATTTTACCATTTAGAGAGATTCATTTACTGAGATGGCTTTTACAAACCGGCCATATATGATTAGCACTTCAATACCCATAAGATCACTAATGCCATCTAGATAATGATCTTTGATAATTGCTTTGCTATAACTACTAAAATCAGTGTTAATGACATACCTTCTTTCTTGAGTATTTCTCTTGTGCTTCCTTTAAAAAGTCCACTAACTTGTATTTATCATGAGTTGGTAGAGGTTGTGGAATAGGGAGACAAATTATACCGCCATCATGAAGAGGAAGGAGGAGAAAGTGAATGTTGGGATAACAACAGAACAAGTTAAGCACTTTAGACAAATGTCAAACAAACTTTAGTAATACTTGCAAAATAAAACTTCTGAAAAAACTTAATTCAAAACTGAACAAAATATTTATTAAACTTTTGAAAATTTAATGTGGTTCAGTTGAGAGGACCTACGTCCACGGGCAAACAAGATAAAGAAGATTTTATTAAACTTCCAAGAACAATTATAATCACACATAAATATTACTTCTCACTTGAGCTTTCAAAAAAAATCTTTCTTGCTTACTAACTGCTCCAAAAGATTTGCACTCAACTTCATAATAATTGCTCTCTTGAAATTACTGTGTACACACACAATCATCCAAGGAATAATGAATGAGGATATGAGCTTATTTATAGGCAAGCATGGAAAACCCTAATTCAGATGGGTCTGGATCATCCATAATTAGCTCATGAAGGGGATGCCCTAAGTTCCAATCAATCACGGAATGCATGTGGGAGCTTCTAGAACCTTCGACTTCATAAGAATCGTCCATGAGCATCATCCATAACCATTGTCTATGATCATCATCCATGACCATCGTCCGTAAGCATCTTCAACTTATAAGCATCCTCCTTGAGCATCTTCAATCTATGACACCTGATGCTCACACGTGATCCCTGATGCTCACCCGAGCTTCCATGTGCTCTATTGATCCTAAATGCTCCATGTACCCGGTAGCTCCAAGTGCTCAATGTTGATTCTTGATGCTCACACATATATCTAAGTATAAGGATGTCAATGGGGGCAAACGTGTCGGGGTTGCATCCCCCGCCCCCGCCCCCAAAATTGCCATGTTTCTCGCCTTCCGCCCCACCCCCCCCCCCCCCCCCCCGAATTCCTGAATTAAGTTGCCCCACCCAAATTGATTTTTAGTTGCCTTTTTTACGCTAAATGAAGTTCTTTTTTGGGATGAACTTAACTATTTTTTGGAAAAGAAAATAGTTCTTTAAAACAAAATTTTACATGTTAAAAACAAAAATGCCATGATATCTAAAAAACATTAGAATCGAAACTTAAAAACTATTTTTTTGTTTTTCTGCTGAATTTTGGCAGCTCAAACTCATGTTATTATTTATTATATTTATATACATAATATATATAAATATATAATATCTTAACGGGACCCCATGGGACTTTCAAGAAAAGACTACCCACCCCCACCCTTGCCACAAAGTTAAAAGGGGGGTTAATTCTACCCTCAACCCCTTCTTTGCCCCCGCTTTTTTTATACAAATACCCCACATACGGGATCGATGTCCCACGTGACTTTTTGACATCCATATCTAGGTGCTCCATTAACATTTCAAATGCCCCAATGAAATATCTATATGCCCCATTGAATTTGATCAAGTGTTTACACCCTAATAGTGAACTCCTTCTAGTGGACTACATAGAAGAAGTTAAGAAAGGATATGGATAGTTACATGATTTGAGATAGTCGAACCACATGAGTGGAGATTGATCATGGTTCTCAAAGTCACACGACCATAATTAAACTTGGAAAAAAAATAATAATGAACATGCGTGCTTAAGGTAATGCTAAGATCAAATTGAATGGAATCAATCATATTGTTTGTGATATGTACAATGTTTTGTAGTCGAGGAACAAATCATACAATGTCACGGCTACAAGAAAGTGGTCAAGATATCTTGACAAAAGGAATGTGTAAGATTTTTCATCCCAACAAAGGTTTGATTATTAAGACCTTAATGGGTGCAAGTAGCATGTTTATGTTGTCTATTGAATCACAACCTCAAACCAGTCGAAAAGAAGACCGCTTGATCACCATTCACAAAAGGATAACAATTGAGATTTAACTTTGGCACAGATGCTTGTGTAACTTAAATTGTACATGGAACTTGTACATACATACCTTTACACACCACATCAAACAATAATAAGAGTTACAAGTTTTGTTTTATTGATGATTTTAGTAGAAACTTTTGGGCATATCTTTTTGATATAGAAAAATTAAGACACATTACTACTTCAAATGTTTCAAGATACTAGTTAACAAGGGAACATGTTTTCTAGTGAAGTGTCTAAGATATAAGATAGGGTTGAAATCGACTTGATGAATTTAAGGAAACATGTAAGGAAAAGGGAATAGAAATACAACTTGTGTACAAATGCTTACATGGAATAGCAAAATGGAACCTCTAAACGAAAAAAAACATTAGTATTAAAATGTCTAGGAGTTGTTTTATGTAACAAAGAATGCCAAATGATTTTGGAAAGAAGTAAACAACTAAAAAACTATTTTATGGATAGATCTACCAACATAACTTTGATAGATATCAATTTTGAAAAAGCATGGAGTAGTAATCGCCCCTATGTTTCATATTTAGGTGTATTTGGTTGTTTAACAATTGTTCATGTACCATAACAATAAAGAATGAAGCTTCATGACACGAGCGTGGATCCTATACTCTCAGGATTGGATTTTTCATAAAATCTAAGGCCTATAATTTGCTCAATCCCAATATTAACAAGATCAAAAGTACAATGAATGTGAACATTTATGAAGATAAAGGATAGTGTTGTAGCAAATCACGTAGTAGATAAGGTTTGCACGAAGAACAATACCGATGAGGATGACAACAATAACGAAGAACATGAGCGGTTGAGGATGATATACATCATGGGAGATTTATAATAAGAAACGGGTAGAATTCCTATAATTCAAGAAACAAGAATGTCTCCATATGGGGAAGTAGTTCGCCTGGAAGATTAAACATGTCCTCAAATTTTGCGATAAGGGCCTTGTCGGCCTCGGAAGCCTCACTCGATTCAGTGACCTCCGATGCTAAACAATTCGATTATACTATAAACGCATCTTGTTCAAAATATGATAACAACCTGAAGAATGATTTGAAAGAGATCGGATTCTTAGAACAAGCTCGGATCTCCAACCTGTGTAACATTCCGTTCCCCTTCCATAATGTTATTGTAAGATCTTTCGAATTTACAATCATATCCCCCATGTTTGCATCCATTTAATACCCATATTACATCGGTGACCTAACTCTAGGGGGAAGAAATCATCTACAACTAGTATATCGTGAAACATGAGAATCAATTTTTTTAACAGCAGTTCATGCAATGCCTTGTGAGACGAAGTTACCTGCCATCAATTAGTACAACCACTTCAAGACCGCCCATGTTTTTGTGTAGTTTCATAGTCTATGGGGGCATTAACACTATAACCAAGTTTAATGTGACTTCCATTGTATCTAAGTGAGCATGATCCTAGTCTATATTAGATGGTTCTTCGTGATCCTCATCTTCATTTTCGTCTCTCAGTACACTACTTGATGGCCTGGTGCGAACTTGGCATCACATTTGAAGCATAACCCTTTTTCCCTTTAGCTGCGAGTTCATCCTTTGAAAAACTTTTGAACGTTCTTAGCTATCCCCATCAATTAGTAGCACCACTTCAAGATCATTTTTTTTGTAGCTTCATAGTCTATGGGGGCATTAACACTATAACCAAGTTTAATGTCACTTCCATAGTATTGAAGTGAGCATGATCCTAATTTGTATTAGACGGTTCTTCCTGATCCTCTTCTTCATCTCCATCTCTCACTACACTACTTGTAGGGACCTATAGCAACGATGGCTAGGTGCGAACTTTGCATCACATTTGAAGCATAACCCTTTTGCACTTTTAGCTACAAGTCCAGCCTTTGAAAGTCTTTTGAGCTATCCCCATATCACCTCTAACTTTCCTATAGGAGGTTATCGTATCTCTCTATGTTGATCGGAATGGCCAACCCCCGATCATGCCGCTCTCCCATCAACACGGTTCCTGTTACCGCCAATCGCATTGTGCGGGTCAATCCATAGAGTTGTATGACCCTCACTGAAGATCTGAGTTTCGATTTTAGCTTCTTGATGGAAGGTCCTTCCAATACCGGTTTCCAAAGCCTCATATTGCTTCCACAGCCCATCGATGTTGTTGATCGGAATGGACCACCCCTATTGTGCCCTTCTTCCATCGACACAATTGTCATTACCACCAATTGCGTTGTGTGGGTAAGTCTCTAGGGTTGTATGATCCTCACCAACGACTGAGTTGTATGATTCTCAGAGTTCCGATTTTAGCTGTTTGATGGAAGTTCCTTCCAAGACCTATTCCGACAACCCCGTAGTTAGACCCACCATTTTCCCAGAATTTCTAACATAATCGTGGGATGTCCCCTCCTTTTAGAGAGTTATGAATTGATCATATCGGATACCCTCATACGATAGTTGGAACGATCAAGGAGATGTCATTTCAGTCCTCTTCATTATCAAAACGCTGACGTGTCCTCACTCCAACGATACCATGGCTGCTCCATCCATATATAAGGTTGCAACCTTGAGTTGTTCGACTTCGTCGATGCCTTGAATCTATTGAAAGAACGCTCAATGCGGTCGACTTGCACACACACACACACACACATCTTCTCCTTCAAAAAAGCACCTTTTTTGCTTTATGTACTCGAGCCCCTTCGAACCAACTTCTTCTTTTATCCTATTCTTATGCGATTCCCATTTTGCACCTTCGCCTTCTTGCTTTTTCCCACCCGATTCGTTCTAAGATAATGGAAATCCCAAATCATCGTACAGATGGTCTTTCGTCATGTGTCGCTCGCATTCTTCCTTGGTAGGCATGTTACCCACCTCTGTGGTTAAGTGGTTGATGGCTCGGAGGGGTTATTCAATCTTCTAGTTGTGTTCTTTCTATTTTTCCTCGGCTTCACTTCTAAACTTGATGAACTCTACTTCCAAGCTATCGATTTTCTTCTATCCCATGGTTCGATTTCTTGGTGCTCTGATACTAGTTAAAACAAACCAGGTAGAATTACTATAATTCGAGAAACAAGAAGGTCTCTGGAAGTCTTAGACTCAAATGAATATTCTCATTATCTGTCATTTTCCTTTATGACATGGCTTTCAATGACAAACATTTGTCTGTCATGTATATGCATCTATGACATACATTGTCTGTCAAGGAAAACTTTTTTTCTAGTAGTGGGAGTTGTAGAAAATCACATGTTGCCTCCTCAATCCAACAAAAATTATCTTTCTTCAGTTGCTCGGTTAGTTACAGTTACTGGCCACTCAATCTTACCAGACCTTGTACATAATTTTTGTACCCAGTCAGTCCAAAAAAAAACCCAAAACATATGTAACGTTTTGGGAGCCAATCACTCTAACATCGTTGTGACCTCGATCGGGTCAACATCCACTAGCTCCCTTGAAACAATATGTGCCCTCGATCCTCGATCTTATATTATGATCTTATGTGAGTGAACACTTCCTTTTATTTGCAGACAAGTGACGTTCCTTCAATGATGTAAAACGATTTCGAGGTCTCAATGTTCTTCCATGGTTTGACTATATACTAGTATATTATCAAAAAATACTAGAAGGAACTTATATAAATATGGTCGAAATACCTCATTCATCAAGGATTAGAAAGTGGTTTGTGTGTTGTGTGTTACTTAGCCCAAATGGCATTACCAAGAATTCATAGTGTCCCTCGTAGTTAC